CTTTGATCAGTCTGGTATATGGGTTATCAATATGATAACCACATTATTATCTCTTGACAGGCTTCCCAGCAGCAAATGCTTGTTATTGCATGTCCAGCTTGCTTAGAGCGCGGCCATATTCGATCTGCCACGATCATGGGTCGCGGATTTATCCCCATCATTGCCTCGTTCTTATTACTCTATTTAATGCTCGAACGTGTGATGTTATGATGAGAATAATCATCCGGATAATGTCAGTGACGAGTTGGGGTCAGCTGATGGTTGTCCTTTTTATTATTGCTTCTTAACAGCAAAGAGGAGGAGATAGTCGACTCAACGACAAACTCGCTCATGGCTATTAGTCCACGAGAACATTAACCGGCAGAATTTATACCTAATATACTATATTAGAGCTCGGAAAAGGGGCACACCTGTTGCTCATCGCGTCATTATCCGCCAAGACTCCGTGGCCATAATTATAACCGAGCTCTCTGATAACCTTCTTCTCTCAGTCTTGAGGAGATATACCTAGTATATATACTGGGGCTCGGAAAATGGGCACATATCTTACTCATCGCGCCATTATCCGCAAAACCGTGGCCAAAATCACTATAGGATTCTTCGATACCTCCTTCTTTCGATCCTGGGAATAAATATCCTGTCCTGGATTTATGAGGGGGCGAAAACTCGCTTGATTGAATCCCCCAAGAGATCACATACAAAATAGCCCGTGGTATCAAGAGTGACTATCTTTAGCAGAACTCTTTCGCTGTTCTTATAGAAGAGGAAGCTCTGCTACATCTAGCCAATGCAGGCAAAGCACCCAGACTCTAATGGCCAAAGATAACATTCCACAGCCGACTTCGCAAGCTTTTCAATGAGAAAGATCATCAACAAATGGAGTATACATGTCAAAGCTTCGTGGACCGCATTCCCGAAGAGTTCATATAATTGACAGACTCACAAATGCATTGGCTCTTACAACTGCTAACTACAATGGACACCTCCCTTCACATTACAAATTGTGCCGAGCATTATCCCTTCATGTCAATCTTAATCTCCTCGCTGAAGCCATACGTACGAGGGCACATCATGACCACTTCGGATTATATAAGAACTCAGAAAAAGGGCACATATTTTGCTCATCACGACGTTATCTGCCAATGCCAGGGCCAAAACGACAATGGCTAGGATAACCTTTTCGTTACTGCTTCTTAAGAGCAAAAACGGAAAGCAAAGAGCTCACCACGACATTATCATAACTGATACTACAAAGAGGAAATTATCAGACAGACTTGCTACTGGTAATCAAAAGAAACAAATCGATAGCATGTATACATGATCGATTCAATACGATCATTCCGTCATGATAGGAAGGCCTATCTCCCACTCACTAATGGCCTGTTCAGTATATGGACATTGACGGAATAGCAAAGTTGTGTCCATGGCACGAGACGGGAAGAACCAATGATTTTTCTTTTTTATTTTTTCGACTTCTTAACGACAAAGACGAAGGGGGAAATCTACAACCGACTCGCTCATTGCTACTACACGTGATGATTTAGGCGACAGATAAGATACAGTCGGATCAACATTACCAGTCCATCATCAATCTCAACAATTACTTCCCAATCAATGGTCTGGTTAATGGTACCGTGTGGACGTTAAAGTCTCTCGTTAAGTATCAGCGCCATGACTTGAATCAATCGATCGTTGTCCATCTTCTTATCACCAGTACTACTTCGTAACAGCAGAGCAAGAGTTACCCGACGAGTGAGCTTGAGGAACTTGTGGTGAAGCCAGACACTAGATATTCTGCTAGTACTGCCATCCCGTCATGCTTCTAGCATCTACTTCCTATGGATCAATGGTCTTTATAAATAGTATCCACTGAGATAACGACGAAGTCGCCAAGTATCCGGCAGAAACAGACCAAGGAACAACTGACGATTGTCTGCCTTCTCATTTATATCACTGCTTCTTACAAGACAGCAAAAGAAAGAGAAGAATGGCACCATGAGATCGCTCATTACTATAAATACGAGTCCATGGGCACTTTCCTTTGCCAAGGGCGACAAGAGCTGGGGTCAGCCGATGGTTGTCCTTAATATTACTATCACTACTGATCCCTACCAGAAGGAAAAGAGAAAAGAAGGCGATGAATCGCTCATCTTCGAAACTACTACTACATGCGATAATTTGAACTCTAACATATCATGATCTCGATGCAAGATTTACTTGCCATTACAACTGGGATGGTCTAGCTAGTATCCCCTGAGATACTAACAATATCACAACCAAACTCAACGATCCAGCCAACAAGGTGTTGCGATCAACTAGTGACTGTTCTTCTTATAATATTCAAGAAAGCAGTCGCTCTCACATTAACTGCTTCCCGGCAATAAAACCGATGGCATGAAATAACAAGCGATGATCCGATCGACAAAATAAAATATAATCGCGTCGTTGTTACTATGCTATCATGCACTCTATGATCCCATCGTCTGCTTCCTTTGCAATAGTAAGGGTAGCTAGTCAAGGATCTTATCAACAACACCTGATCATCGGGTCATGATCTCTGGAAGATGCGAAGGGTTATGTCGACCGTTTTATTCTGCAATCTTCTATGCAAAGATTATCATCTTTATCATTATATTGAGAGTCCATCTTTCCAATAGCAAGGGAAAGAGGACGAAAGCCAATCACAAGGTATGATGGACTCGCTCATTACTACTGCAACTTATTCCACACGAGAATCCAATGAGCACCTTATTATCAAATTACTATGGATTGGATTAAGTTCTGTCGCGTCTCGACTCCTTCCCAAGATATGCATTTCCAGATATTAACTTGTGAATTCCATTTACGCTGGCTACTCTCACGACTTGCGATTTTGCCCACTTATTACATCTGGTAATATATTAGCCAAAATTCACATTCCTGGCTAATACTTAGGGTTGTGGTAGCCTTTTTTACTTCAACTCTCCGACATTCTGAGAATAATTGTTCTCATCATTATTGAGTCTCTACTGCTTCTTCCTGACAGAAAAGAAAAGGGGACAAGATGTCGCATAGAAAGACACAATGGACTCGCTCATCAATACAAAATCCACTCGAGGAAACAGTTCACCAACCCGCAATATAACATAAATGACGAACAACCTTTTCTTTACCTGTTTCCTATCGATGGTAAGAGCTGAATTACGATATCATCTTCAATGACAGAGACAAAACCGAAGGATTGTTCAGTGCTCCTTTATCTTTCTGCTCCCACTCCTCCTTCCTACCAGCAGAACAAGAGGAACAAAAGCATAATATATTCTCGCTCATCATGATTATACCAAATCCACGCGAGGATCCAATCTACGAACCCATAGTATGATCGGATCAATAATAGGGCTTGCCCCTTCATTCTCTATCTATCTGCCTTTCTCTACCTCTTTCTTATCGATGGGCAGAGCTATGATAACTGCAGTACCATCTTCAGCGATACCGCCTGGACAAAGGCATGTTCAATTCTTCATTATCTCTCTTCTATCGCTATTCCACCTTCCTATCAGCAAAAAGAAGAGAGACAGAGACACGATATACTCGCTTATTACTACTACTTACACCACGCGAGAGCCCAATCGACAATATACTTATATGATTGGATCGCGAATGGGGCGTTCCCCTTTATTATCGGGCTCAACTATCCATCCATCAGCCATGTCTTACCTATCTGCTGATGGACAAAGTTATGCTAGCCTGTGTTATTTCTTATAAGATTAGCTGGGCCCAGGGAATGGCCGTCTTCCATTTGATACTGCTCGATGAAAACAATGAAAGGGAAAGAAAGAGGCCACATAGAGCTACTTGCTCATTAGCAGACTAGGTGGCTTACCTTATTGGCCGGCTGATGCGGTCATATATAATCATCTCTCTGACATTTCCTTTCGTGGTGGGGATGGAGAAGATGACGACGACCATGGTGCCTCGGGTTTTAACTTTATATCTTTGCCTTCTCTCTTCTATACTGAAAGCGAAGATGATATCTACAATGGCATCTGGAATATTATCTTTACCTCCCCGGTCTTGAAAATGATGAAGAGAATGACCACCATAGCGTCTGGGTTTTTATTCTCCATATCTGCTGGTCTTCCTTCAATCGTGGAAACAAAGACGACGTTTGGAGGGTAGAATTACTATTATTAACCTCTCTTGTCTCTCCTTTCCGATAGCAACGATAAAGGCAATTATTACAACGACGTCTAGGTCGTTTTTCTGACATCTCTGGAAACTTCTCCGATGAAGAAGAAGATGATGACCGCACTGGTGCCTCGAGAACCCTCAAACCCTTATATCTTTCTCTTCGTTTTTTTATGGTAAAAACGAAGATAATATCTACAATGGCATCGAGAACTTATGAATTTTGTCTCTCTTGTCTCTTCCTCTCGAAATTGAGGATATAGAAGAGGATATATCCCGATAAAGGTTTCGGAACCGCGATATAATAACCGATAGCAATGACTACCAGCGTAGCGGGTCACTTGCGGGAAAAGATAGGGGACTTGGCGAAAGAGTGTGCACTCTCGTCTGTTCGACCTTCGTCCTGGATCAACTTGGACGGTTCACACTTTGATGTCTCCGACCTTCCTTCATCACGGAAAATAAAGAAGAAGAACAGGGGGAAGACATATATGCCGGCGCCTGGTGTTTCATTCTCGATATCTCTCTGCCTTATTCTTTCAAAGGCGATGATGAAGACAACTTCTTCTATGGCGTCTGGGATCTTATAAAGTTTAAATATCTCTGACATCCTCAAAGATGGGGATGAAGAAGATGAACTGTACGAAGATATCGGGGGTCTTCTTTCACATATCTTGGTCCTTTGATCGATGATAAGAACGGCAGTGACCCCTTCGATGGGGGTGTGGGGTTTTATTTCTGATATCTTTGCCCCTTCTTCATCGGGGAGAATGAAGAGAAAGAAAAGAAGGAAGATATATCTGTCGACGCCTGGTGTTTCACACCAATATCTCTCAGCCTTGGTTTTTCTAATGACGAAGATGACGGATACTACCATATGGGTAGTACCTGCCATATATCTTTGATATCTTCTCCTCCTCTTCGATAACAAAGTTGAAGAAGCCAGTTGCTACGAAGATATCCGTGGTTCGATATATTATCTCTCCATCCTTCGCTCGATGGTAAAAAACGGCAGTGACCCGTTTGATGCTGTGTGGGGCCCTTATCTTTTATTTCCTTCGTCTTCCTTCTCTATAGTGACGAAGAAGATAACGATCACGATGGCGTCTGGGCTTTTAATTCGATATATCCGGCCTTCACTAGATTATAAGAACGGCAAGAATGGCAGTGACCTATTCGATAGTGCCCGTGGCTTACTTTCTATATCCTTCGTCTTCCCTTTCTTTGGTGACGACGACGACGAAGATGATGACGATCACGATGGCGTCTGGGGTTTTATTCTCAACATCTCCGGCCTTCGTTCGATGATAAAAACGGCAGCGACCACCTATTCAATGGTGTGTGTCCTTCTTATCTCTGATATCGTGTGCTTTTCCGTTCTATGGTAAAGACGAAGATATGATCACGATGGCGTCAAGGCTTACATATTCGATATAATTAGCCTTTTTTTCCCTGATGAAGAAGAAGAATAGTTAGTTTTTTATATGGACGGTACCTGGGCCTTCTAATTACTAATATCGGCACTTCTAGAACCTACATCGAAGATGAAAGACAAAAGATGATGACCACGGCGGCTGTCCGGGTTTACATTTTCATCTATACTCCTTCTCTCTCTCCCAAAGACAAGGACAATGAACAAGAAAAAGGGCGACGATGGCATCCGGCATTACATTCATCATACTCTTCACTCGTTCTCTTCCCATGATGTACAAGGAAGACGAAATGACTATGCCGTCGTCTGGGATTTTACATTTCTATATCTCTGTCTTTTTCCATTGAGCAGGGGCAGATAAAGATAATGACGATCTCGGGTCTACTATCTCTCTCTCTCTCTCTCTGGCCTGTTCTTCGACACCGAATCCTTTCACGAAATATACACAAAGGTGTTCCGGAAATTTACTTAACTTACTTACCATCGACATCCTCCGATATCTCATTCGATATTAATGAGGATGAAAATGAGGATGACTGGGCTTCTTGTGGCCCAAAGATGGACTGGTCTTGGCCCCCTTATGATATATATCTAAGAGTAAAAAGGCGCTCTTGAGCTATCTAGTTAACGATCTGTCACCGTCGCTATCGCTACACACTAATCACTCTACTGGCACTATGCCTCTTCTCTCCCTCTGGTGCAGTTATGGGTCTCTTATGAAGGATGGCAGTAAGTCAGTCGATGGCATCAGGTGAAGGAGGCAGGCGCCGATCATGTGTAACTACCGGAATCTGAAGAGTCATGGTTTCGATTAAATGATGTTGTTGGTGGTGCGGCTTAAAGTGTCTTTAGACTTCGTACTCTATTGCTGCCGTTTACATTAGATTATGACATTACTTATATTACAAAGGCAATTGGTAATGGCATATGATAATCATAATTCGTATCTACCCAAACGAATTTTTCAGGTCATCAATTTTACACATGGGAATAATAGTAAAAGAAAAGGGTCATCACAAAAATGCACACATCAGATCAGTCTCCCAATCTATGCCTGGATCTTCTGCTTCAGGATGTCCTTGAGGGTGACGGCGTCAGCGGCGAACTTGGAGATACCCTCACGCAGCTTCTCGACGGCCATGGCCTCCTCGTTGAAGTCGAAGCGGAAGAGAGCCTCGTCGTTGATGTAGGTCTTCTTGGGGATGTCGAGGCCGGCGGCGTTGGCGGCGTCGAGCTTCTTGGGGACGGCAGCGGTGGAGTTGAAGAGGTCCTCGAGGAGGTTGGGCTGGATTATGTTAATTTATGTACCAGATATAGAGAAGAATGGAAAACTTACGGAGATGGTCAGGTAGTCACAGCCAGCCAGCTCGGTGATCTCACCGGTGTTACGGAAAGAGGCACCCATGACAATGGTCTTGTAGCCGTGCTTCTTGTAGTAGTTGAAGATGCTCTGGACGGACTTGACACCGGGGTCCTCCTCGGCGGTGTAGTCACGCTTGTGAGCGGCCTTGTACCAGTCGAGGATACGGCCGACGAATGGAGAGATGAGGTAGGCACCGGCCTCAGCGGCAGCGATGGCCTGGACGGTGGAGAACATGAGGGTCAGGTTGCAGTTGATGCCGTGCTGGGACTGGAGGACCTGAGCGGCCTTGATACCCTCCCAGGTGGAGGCGATCTTGATGAGGATGCGGTCGCGGGAGATGCCGTTCTCCTCGTAGAGCTGTAGCAATTCGTTAGCAACTCGCCTTTGTAAGTAGAACATTGCTGGCGTACCTTGATGATGTGGAGGGCCTTGTCAATAGAGGCCTGGGTGTCGAAAGAGAAGCGGGCATCGACCTCAGTGGAGACCTTGCCGGGGATGATCTCGAGGATCTTCTTGCCGAACTCGACAAGCAGACGGTCGAGGGTGGCATCAACCTGCTCGTCGAGGGTCTTGCCCTCAGCCTTACCCTTGGCGACGGCGGCATCGATGAGGCTGGCGTACTCGGGCTTCTTGGAGGCGGCGAGGATCAGGGAGGGGTTGGTGGTAGCATCCTGAGGCTTGTACTTGCCAATGGTGGCGAAGTCACCGGAGTCGCAGACGACGACCTGAATTGATGAGAAGATGGATGATTAGCGATGTTGTGAAGATGACACGGCGATGTCGGCAAAGCAATGAATGACTTACAGTGCCGGTGGCCTTGAGCTGCTCGAGAGAAGAAGACATGGTGGAGGTTTGGAGGATAAAAGGATGAAAGGTGATCAAAGTAAGATGAGATGGGGGAGAGGGGTATAAAGAGATTGGACAGATAGTATGAAGAAGGAAGGAAGAGAAGAGGAAGAAGAAGGTAAGAAGCGGAAGAAACGGAGAGTGAAATAAGAAGGGGAACGGAGAACGTGGCGACGAAGCCGGAGCAACCAAGCAGAGAGCAGCAGCAGCAACGAGAGGCCCGTCAGAGTGAGGAGGGGTTGCTCTTTCCTTACCAAAATGTTATGGTGGGGCAAAGCTGGGCAAGAAGGGCCGATGACGCTATGCCTTTCCTTCCCTTCCCTTCCCTTCCCTCCCTTCTGTTTTCTTTTTCGCCTCAACAATTACCGAGTATTATCATAGCATTACCCAGCAATATCTATCTATGGTACGGTACATCCTTTCCTTTCCCTCCCATCTCTTCCATTCACATCAATTCAATTTTCTTCGCAATATACATCCCTCCATTCTGATTGATCACCAATATTCCATTTAAATGATCCCTTTCCTTACTACCTCTTTCTCTTTCCATCAGCTTCTCTCCTCATTCATACATACATACAAACAGAGAGAGAGCACGGGCTGGTCGGCGCAGAGTGCTCCGGCAACCGACCAGCAATCCCCGGTCCACACTGCTCCTCTTTTCCCACTCCTTTTCCCTCACCGGAGCTTGTCCACACACCCCTCCTTCCGTGGTGTTCCCTTTATTCCTTCTGGAGCACAGCAGTCCTTCCGGTGGAGATCCCCCTCCTCCCAGCCAGCATCATCGGCCTTGTCAGCGAACCGTGTTCAATACTAAGTTACGGAAATAGGGTCGCGTTTCGAATGCCTTCTTCTCCTTATGGCTTGGCCTCTTCTTTCCATCCCACCACCCCCGGAGGCATTTGACTAAAGTAGGTAACGGTTCTAAAACAGTAGCTCGGTTCTCCCCCACGGTCAACTATTCTAGCTCCGCGGCCCATTTGCTACGACAACAATTACAATTGGAGTCGCTCGCACCCCTCCAGCGCGTTCTTTCCGTCTTCAGTATGAGACAGGCAGCATATTGACAAGAGAGATATGTTTACGGGATTGGAATACTCGGCGCATACAATATCGGTAGACACAAGAGCATCAGACATGCCCGGAGGTTTGGTGGGGCACCGACCTGGGAAAGAGACGAGGTCCATCCCACGATGACCTCCTTCTCCGTGGACTCGATCCGAGGCCCTCCGCGGAGTCCACTTTTTCCCCGGTGGTAGACAGATCACAGTAAAGTAATTGACAACAACGGCCCTCCTCACCGGCGCTGGACACAGCTCCATTCGTACTAGATACCCCGTCAGCATATGCGATCTAAACCTTTACCCCAAAATGTTAGCCACACTTACCACTCGTCCCAGTTCATCGCCAGTATACACCACGTGCGGCTGGGCCATAATGCAACTAATTCCCGCCGAGATATTGGCTCCATTGTCGCGGTGACTGTCCACATGGTGCAGTTGCCGGATCAACTCCAACTCAAATCGCCCATGATGGATGATCTTGCTCCAAATCTGTGTTTATTAGCATCAGCACCTCAGGTCCGTGGTATTACAATAGGGCTCTTACGTTGACGACGCCTCTTCGGTGTCCAGTGAACAGCAGCTCGCGCTCCTGCCACTCATTGTTCACCCCTTCGTAAAAGACACATGTCATAATCGAGTCGTCCACTGAATCGCACAGGATCTGTTCCAGGAGCAGTGACCCGTTGAGCGTGTAGAGGCTGACTCGGTCGCGTCGACAAATCATGATCTCTCCCGTCACATCGTTGATCCGAGCACACTGTACCTGCATTAGTATACATGACGTGATGGAACAGTGTGGGAAAACAGCATGCTTACATCGACAGGCCCGCTGCCTGGCAGCTCCCGTACGAAGCATTGCCGATTGAGATCCCAAAGCATAATTTGCCCGTCCGTGGATGCCGACAGAAGCGTACTGAATGACCGTGACACCGCAAGCGTAGTCACCGGGGAGCGGTGTCCAAATAGTGACCCCGTGGGCTGTAGATCAACAGACTTGATGGATGAGGTGAAGGTCCAGATCGACACCGTACAGTCGGCGCCGGCGGTTACCAACGTTCGAGAATCTGCGAAGATCGCACAGGACAGTTGGCCGATATGAAGATGCTCAAAGTGACCCAGTAGCTAGAGGCTTGTTAGCTGCTGTACTTCTGACAGGACATTCCAAAATCCAATGACTAGACTTTCGTACCCGTCGGCTATCCGCAGAGTAGAATCTGACACTGCCGTCAAAGAATCCCCACTCCATATACTTGTCGTAGCTAGGGGGGATGTTGAGTCGCAAGGCAGCGGCACACAGCAGACGATCTTGTTTCATCGATAAGGTGGCCACTCGTTCGCCAATATCTATTCCCACATTAGTCAACACGGAATTATTCATATCATGGTTAGATTCTCACCCAGAAGCGCAAGGGGCTGTTGTGTCAGCGATTCGGCAAGCCGATCCAGTCGGGGCGTTCGATGTCCGGGGTCTTCGCGTTGCAAGTGAGGCCGATTGAAAATCTGATGCGGTGTCTGCCCGAAGTTGTGAATGATACCGATCGTGGCAAGGCGTTCCACGGGGTCATCAATAGAGTCGATGTCCTTGGCACCTTGGTAGGACAGATGATGAAAGACATTCACTGCCTCGACCGCGGCCTCTCCCTTTTGCTTGCTTCCAAACACCAAATCGATCCAATGGTGCAAGTTCTGGGTCACGTACGGACTCTCGAGCGCCTCCCGGTGTTTAGCAATGAAGATCATAGGATCGCCTTTGGCCCAGGGCGGTAATTCCACCGAGTCAATCACAGTCGTCATGTTCTGCAAGAGCCCGAAATCGTACTTATTCGAATTCACCAAAAACTCAGGGAGGTAAAAGAACTCGGGTATTAACTCCCGCACGTCCGACATATTGCCGCGTGACGCAGATTCCCACGCCTTTCCAACCGAGTAGAAGAGGCGGTCGGCATGATCAAACGTACCTCCCTGAAGGAGAAGGTAGGATTTGACAAAAGGCTGCAGTCGGATCAGGTATGAGCTCACGATCATCGCAGAAGAATAGTGCGTCCCGTAGTGGAATGGAGGAGCGTCGTCATCACCCATCTCGGCGAAAGCCTTATACCGTTCTCTAAACTCCGCCTCTCGCTCTGGCGTTTGGCAGCCCATGGGCTTGGACAAGTCACGGAACGTTTTAGGATCGTTCAGATCCAATTCGTCACTTGTATAGTCGGCAAGAACCCATGGAAACACGGGATATTGTGTCAGGTCGTTGAACGTCCTCCCCGCAAGTGTGTTGATCAGCATAAGGTAGTGGAAGTTGGAGATTTCACCCTTGACCCATTTGCGCGTAGCTGGATAGAGCGGAGAGTGGCCGAAAACGCTGGCAAACTTCGACCCGAGAGATTGCGGTGCATCGTCTTGA